TAGGTTAATGCAACAACAATAATTTTAAAGACACTTACTATGTCATTCTAATATACATTATATCTGTCATTATTTAAGGCTCCTGACCTACCAGTAGACTGTAAACAACTGGAGGCAGGAGATGAGACCTTGCACATCATCCTGGACTCTGCCCTGTGCACATGTGCAGGGTGTGGTCTGCACCTGTTACTTGATGGACACAGTGAAGAGAAGCCCTATGCTGCTCATTCCTCACTCTTGGAGAAAGCACCCTTACCAAAGTCACAGACTGGAACTGGGAAACCTGGAAAGACATGCATTTGACCTCCAAGGAGGTCATTAACCATCTGACTTACAAAATGAACACATTTAAATTTTGTTTTTTCAACCAGATAATACCGGTATTACGAAACTAATAAAATGTGTCTACTAGAGAGATGGCTAGAGAGATGGCTCAGCAGTTAAGATCACTATCTGCTCTTACAGAGGACTCAGGTTCAATTCCTAGTACATGGTGGCTAACGACCATTCATAATTCCAGTTTCAGGGGATCCAACGTCCTCTTCTGACCTCTGTGGGCATTGCACGATATGGGTGTACTTACACACATGCAGGTAATACACTCATACACATAAAAATAATAAATAAAATACTTTAAACTATGTCTGCTCAAAAATCCTTCTGGATATCCAGTTATTTGGAGAGGAGAAAGAAAAAGAGACCACCACATTTCCAATTCACCAAAGTAGTCACGGCTATTTTCAACTCATCTTTTATTTTTTTCTTCTTGTCCAGGCCTGTGCCCGTTCTGTCTAGCTGACTTACACTTCTTCGGGACAGCCCTCTGGGTCATTACTTCCACCTCAGCCATGCCCCTGAGCCTCCTACTACAGCTCCTCAACTTGTTCCCAGCTCAGAGACTTCTACTGCAACTGTATGTCCACCTTCAAGAGACACAAAAGCAGTGTGCCTGGTGCCTGCCCATCTGTTTCAGCTATTCAGCAGTGTCCCCACTATGTTTCAACTTCCCAATTCCCAACAGTGCCTTTAGAATCACAGCAAGTAGCTTCGTTCACTACAGGATATATAGATCATTTTAGTGGCTAATGTGCAAGCTGCAGCAGTGAGAGGGGGCAGTCAGTGATATGGGTTATACCCTAGCCCCAAGGACAATTCTACAGGATGCAGAGGAGCCCCCAAGCCAGCCAATAACTATTGGTTAAGTATATGCAGATAGTAAGGTGTAAATGACATTCAGCAGCATGGCAACTGAGGCACAAAGTCCTGACAATCTGCTAGTGTGGCATCCCTACAGCTAAGCTCAGTGCATCTGTCTGCAGAACTGTTATTGCTTCTCCACAGCATTGTCTCAAGAGACACATTCCCAGCTCAAGGCTCAAGTGTGGATCCCTTACTGGAATGAGTTATCTACTCAGTAAATCTGTCCCCTGTACCTGTGATTTATAATAATGAATTTTTAGACCTGGAATCCTGGGAACCAGAGCAAAGACAGTAACCAAGAGCTAGTAGAGGGGACTTGGACACTTACCAAGACTGTTCTGAAGTAGGCAGTTGGGCTATGTGTCCCTGCCAGGCTGTCATGTTAGAGTGACTGAAATATATTCATCAAGTCTCTGGGGGCCTACAAACTGGCACCCAAATTCTCTATATCATACCTATATCGCCAAAGCTTCCCAAAGAACTGTAGTCATTCCCAGTGGGAAGGGCTGGGAAAGAGGAGCAGGCCCTGGGTAAGTGTTAATAGAAGACCTCCCTCTGCTGCTGCCCCTGTCCCCACCTAGTCCTTTCCAGATGCCAGTATATGTACAACTAGAGACGTGTGGAATTCTAAAGAGTACATGGGTGTGTGCTCAGGTGGTTGTGGAGAGGGAGGGGGATGGGAAGGAGGGAGGGGGAACGGATGGAGGAAGGGAGAGAAGGAGGCCAAAAACACAATGTAAGCCTGGGGTGCCAGGTATGAGACCACTGAAAACAATATCGTACTTTCCCTTAGTGAGATTTGGTAATGGTTTCTCAAATCTAACCAAATGGGATTTACAGATTGGCATTCACAACTTGACAGTTGCCTTTCTTCAAGCTTGGGACAGCTCTGATTTTGAAAATTGTCCCCGAAAGCTCTGGATTCTTCAAATATCAACATGAATTTAAGAGGATCACATTTTTTAAAAAGTGAATTAAAAGCCGGGCGTGGTGGTGCACACCTTTAATCCCAGCACTCAGGAGGCAGAGGCAGGTGGATCTCTGTGGGTTCAAGGCCAGCCTGGTCTACATAGTGAGTTCCAGGATAGCTGGGGCTACAGAGAGACCCCATCTCAAAAAGATAAAAAAAAAAAAAAAAAAAAATCCTTGTGTTTTATTATTAAAGCAAAAAGCACCACAAAATTTCTCTTTATTTTCTACATTTCATTTTTAAAAAATTCAACAACAGTTGCACAATTTTGGCTGATCTAAAATTTACTAAAATGGACTCATGCCAATAGACTATAAATACCATATTTGAGTGTTTGCTGAATGTTCTTATAGTTAACAAGAGAAAATTTTCTACTGCAGGCATCATTAACTGCAAATACAGTGTTTAAAATACATCCAAATCTTGTGGGAGAGGGTTAATTTACCTTTTCATTCATGATTAAAGATACAGTATCAATACGTGTATTAAAAACTTGCCAAATGTTACCTTTAGGGTCAGGCAAGAGAGGCTGGGTTGATCAAAAGATAATAGTCTTTAACAAACCTGTCATGAGATACAACCTGGCTCCTGTCTATCCCTCCCTCCTCACTGTGCTCTTCAGAGTCTCCTTCTGCACCAACTCCCTCAGTTTTCATGCCTCAGCACTTCTACATTTTGCCTCTTTCTCTATAGATTTTTGTCTAGGAATGGAGTACTGGATGTTCTTCCACAGAGCTCAGGCAGGAAATGGCTGTCTTCCTACTGGGCCTGTAAGTATAGTACAGGTTGCCTAGTGTTGAACCACAAGTCTCTTCACTCTTCACATCTGCATTCCAGTTCACAAAGTCATTTCACACACTAGTTGGCAATCCTTAAGCCTGCTGTGAAACTAACCAAGGATTCACCTCATCCATCACAGAACAGCAGCTGTCTTTTTGAGGGCCACAGCAGGAGATGGAGGAGGGTTCTTTAACCAGGGCTCAAAAGGGGGTGGGGGTATCTTTGATTTAAACTCTGGAGAAGAAATAGGTGAGAAGCAGGCTGGAGCTCAAGGAGGGTGTGTATTAGGGTAGGGGACTGGGTTCAGATTCACTTCCAGAACTAAGCAGTTATATGACCTTGGACAAGTTAACTGGTTTCCTCAAATCTGTTCCTGCTCTGTAAAATGGAGATAACAAAGCCTACCTTTCAGGGTATGAAAGGCTTTAAAAGAAATGATGCAAATAATGCAAGTAGGCAAAATACTTGGTGAAATGTTAAGCCTCATGATTGCAAGTGGGGAGACTGGAGGCTCTGAGGTTAAGAGCACTGGCTGCTCTTGCAGAGGACGGGGGTGGGGGGGGCGTGGTGGTGGTGTTAGTTTCTGGCACCCACATGGCGACTAACAACCATGTGTAACTCCAAGGGATCCGATGCCCTCTTCTGACTTCTGTGGGCATTGCACAACATGGGTGAACTTACATACATGCAGGCAATACACTCATACACATAAAATAAAAAAAAATTTTTTAAAGATTGCAAGTGGGGTGGGGGAGCGATTAAGAGCCTGGAGTCTGGAGCCAGACTGCTTGAGTTCAAATCTTGTCCCTAATATAACTGAGGGCACTTGTTAAGTTATGTAAATGTCTCTGGCTCAACTTCTCTATCACTAAAATTGATTTTTTAACAACATAATAGACAATACTTGCTGCTTTTATTTCACTAGGATAAAAATAGTTAATATTTTTACCTCAATCAATGATGCAGTGAACTAAAGGAAACTTTAGTACAATGTGTACCTTTTTTAAGCCATGAAGACTGTATGCATTTATGAAATCTGGGGCAGAGTCAAATTGTGCTGCTAAGGGTGGGGCTAAACTGTAATAGGAAAGAGAAACCCAAAGAGGGGCTATAAACCACCCACCAGGGAGCTATTTCTTTTGTAATGTGCATTCCATTTCTTCTCCCTCATGCTTTTTAATTCCTTCCACATTTCCTGCCATAATTATCAAATGTTTAGTTTCTGACCTCACTTTTCTGGAGACTAGAGCCCAGGGAATTTAGAATTGTTTATTTTCTGTCCATAAACCTCTGAGTTAATGGAGAAGCTTGTGAGCCTAGGGTTTGTTGGTTTGTTTGTAATGTCTCAGGAGGGTCACTGGAGTTGAAAAAGAAAACATTAAAAAAAAAAAAAAAAGGAGGAAAGAAAGAAAGAAAAAAGAAAGAGACAGGAAAAAAGCCTTGAATGTTTTCACTGGAAACCAGAGTCCCTTAAAGGGCAGAGTCACAGATTTCTCACACTTGCTTAACTGAATTTAAGAGAAATGTTAGACTGTAAAAAGCTGTTATAGGGCCCAGATAACAGCACAAAATCCAGGACATTTTACAAAGAAGAGAGTACATTTTGGGAGATCACAATCTCACTTTATAAAAGAGAAAGGAAATTTTATTTTGCTGCAAAAGAATCTTTTTAATCCTCCCCCACCAGGAGAGACTTGGAAAGGAAAAGTCCCTAACTATTCTTAGTTGCCTCTGAAGTGAAGAACTCAAGGCGCCGTTTTGAACTGTGCTCTGGTCGCCGCCTCAGTCCCAATCTGCCCATTCGGTCCCCTCTCCCCCGCCCCAGCTTCCCTCCATATTAGGCATGGTGGGACTCAACTTATGGCCCAAGCTAACTTCTCCCGGAATGAGGATTAAGTTTGCTAAGTGGCACTTCTGCTCCCAGCACCCCCGAACCTCACTCCACCGCAAGTGTGGAAACTCCGAGTCCCACCCCGAGAGCATCCTTGGGACGCACGCCCGGAGCAGATCCCAGATCCCGGCCGCGGTCGGACCTCAGCCTCTCACCTACCTCGGCGTGGACCAAGGAGACCGTCACCAGCGCGAGCACAAGCCAGCGTTTCCACATCTGAGGAAGAGAGAAGAGAGCGAGACTGAAGGCTGGGCCCCACGCCGACCCTGCAAACTTCCTCAGGTCCCGCAGACACGTCCCCTCCGCCCAGGCACCCCTGGCCGCCCGCGGCATCCGACCCCGCGCTCACCGTGGTCGGGTCCGGGGCTCCGGAGGACGCAGAGCAGGGCGGCGGCGGCGGCGGCGAGCTGGAGGAGTAGGTGGGAGCGTCGCTGATCCGCCAGCCTCGGAGGAAGTCCGACCCGGGCTCGCCGCCCCTTAAGACCCTCCTCCCCGGCCCGCCTGCCCCCCAGCTCCTCCCAGTCTCCTCCCCTTCTGCAGCGAGGCCCCCGCGGCTCCCCGTTGCGCTCCCTCCCTTCCGTCCCCGCCCCGGAGCCCGCCAGTGTCCAGGCGCCGCCTGCACTCGGGTTCCCGTCGGGCTCCCGGCCAAGCACCCCTCAGACCCCTACAGGAAAAGGCAGGGGGGTGTCCGTGCTCCCCGGGGCCCTGCAACAAAGACGGGAGGGGGGGGCAGCCCAAACCCCACCTCCGCGAGGGGCACTGGCCTGCGCCAGCCGGGGTAGCAGCTGCCTACAGCGATGACCAGCTGGGCGGTAGCGAGGTGGCCCACGCCTGGACTGGAACGCGAACCTGCGGGAAAAGGCACCCTACTGCCAGCGAAGCTGGAGCCACCCCCTACCATTGGAAGGGAGAGGGCAGGGGATGCGAGGGTGTCACTGCAGTCCAAATGCAGGAAAGTGGGCACAGGAGCCAGAGGCCGGCTGGTGGGCAGAAAGCTGCTTTGGATTCAGCTGTAGATGCCCTAGGGAGAGGGTACGGTTGCCCTAGTCTCCTGAGGAGAGACTGAGTGCAGCTTGAAGTCCTTCTCGAATCCAGGAGCCGGGCGCCCTCTACACCTACTCTTCACCAATGTTCCTGTTAGCACCCTAGTCGTTTCTGGTAATCTCCATGTTCTTGACTCCCATCTCCACGGACTTCTCAGTAGCTTTCAAAAGTGTGCCACCTCTGAAAGGGTGCTGAACCCCTATGTTAAGGGCTGCTTTCCTGCCCTGACTGTCCCTGTTTCTGGTACCAAGAATACATCTACCATTTACATGACACTTCAGATCTAACATCCAGAGGCTGAGCCCCAGTTTTCATTACTTTAGAGGCTGCTCATTACCTTTTTCGGTGCTTGCCTCCAAAACCCATCTCCTTTTCCCAGAGCAGGCTTGACACCATAGGCCTAACAGTTTTTGCCCTGAGATTGCCTGTAGGACCCTTCGATTCTGAAGGAGGATGTATCCTCATCCTCCCTTACCTAGAATTTCAAGAATCCACTGCTGGTAGCTGGGGTTTAAACACTAAGGTCTTCCTCTTCTTCATCTGAGAAACTATCCATACTCTTCTCCCATATCAAATCCAAACTTACTGCCTTCCTTGTAAGACCACAATTACCCAGTGCAGGCTACTGGTTTATCTTTTCTTCCTCCACTTCACCATACATCACCGACTGTGCCAGTCTTCATGATGTACTCTGAACTTGCCATATTCTGCCTTCTACCAAGGTGTGCTGAATGCCTACTGTTGAGGTTTTAGGAGGTTTCCAAAAAACCACCTCAGTTCCCCATGCGATTTTAGAATCCACTGAGATAGCTGCATGAGTTACACTGAGGGAAACCAACATGTAAGCTTTGTTTCTAGTGAAACTGAAATATTCACCCTGCCTTTAGAATCGCCAGGGTCTAGCAGTCTGCACCCCAGAAATGAACAGTCCCTATTGTCCCAGGCAGAGTTGGAAAACCTGCTTGTGTAAAATCAACTGCATTAAGGGGGTGTTAGGGCCAGGTGTGGTGGCCCATACCTTTAATCCCAGCATTCAGGAGGCAGAGGCAGGTGGACCTCTGTGAGATCCAGGCCAGCCTAGTCTACATAGTGAGTTCCAGGCAAGCCAGGTTACAGGCAGACTCTGTCTTAAAAAGGGGGGGAGAGGGGGAATGTCCTAGTTAGCTTTGACTCTCAGCTTGACACGGCCTAAAGTTATCTGAAAGATAAACTGCTTAGATCAGATTGGCTTGTTGTATCTGTGGGGGATTATCTTGATTGTTGATGTAGGAGGGCCCAGCCTGCTGTAGCAGGCACCATTCCCTAGGCAAGTGGTCCTGGGTTGTATAAGAAAGCTACCTAGGCATGAGTGAGTCAACAAACAGTGTTTCTCCATGGTTCCTGCTTCAGTTCCTGCCATGACTTCCTTCAGTGATGGACTGTGACATAGAAGATAAAATAAATCCTCTCCTTCCCTAACTTTCTTCTGGTCAGTGTTTTATTACAACAGAAAAGAAAATGGAACAAGCGGAGAGTGACCCATGCCTCATTCTTTGAGATTCACCAGTCAGGTAGTACACTTCTCATTTGTGATAACAAGATGAGTAGGAAATGATGTCTGTTCACCAGCTACTCTGTCATCCTGCTAGGCTGGAAGAAGGGAGTTGTGACATACTAAGTTTTGTTTTCCCTTTGTAATCATTCACAAGGCTGTGTGCCCCTCAAAGCTGATAATGCCTTTCCTCTACTGAAATTTGGTTTGCTGTTTTCAGAACACAAAACAAGCTTCATTGCATCTCTAGCACCCTTCATGACAACAGCTTCCAACCTGTTACTGCATTTACTAGCTGCTGACCTTTGCTGTCTCAGTACCTAGGTTCCTGCATCTGACAAAGAACAGTGATAATGCTCTTCAGGGGCCTGTGAAACTTAGAGATGCATTATAAAAAGTGCCTCACAGGTAGGTAGCAGGCATCTATAAATGGTAGTCCTCATCATTGACCTGCTTGCACTGAAATTGTGCCAGATACTGTGACAGCATCCAACATGACTTATTTTAGTTAACTGTTGTAATAAACAGAAAGATTTAAAAATAACATCTATTGTTCAATAAGAAAACTTAAGCTCAGAAAAATTCTGACATTTTCCCAAGGTTATAGAGCTTTGCAACTTGGGCATTTTGTTGTTTACTATTGTTTTTGTTTGATGTTTGTTTTAGCAGGGTCTCACTGCCTAACCTCAGCTGGCCTGGAGCTCACTACATAGACTTTCCCAGGCTAGCCTCGATCTCACAGAGATCTGTCTGCCTTTGCTTCCCAAGTGCTTGGATTAAAGAGATGCACCACCATGCCTGGATTTGTACACTATTATTCTATGTTTAATTCTTAGGCACATAATTGTTCTCGATTTAGAGTATAACTCTACAATCAACAAACAGAACAAAACAAAAATAAAACTAACTGTGGGAGGGAGTTGCCATTTGTATCAGTGAGGGATATTTTTGGTTGCAGGTGATAGAGAAGCCAACTTAATAAATAGCTGTGAAATTAACTGGAATTTGTTGACCCTATGTAGATGAGAAGTTCAGGGATAATGGCTGGATTTAGATAAGTCTTCATCTGGGATTTAAATAAGATCTCCAAGGACCAGTGTCTTGAAGCTTTTATTTCTACCTTCAACAGTAATCCACTCCAGGTTCGCAGGGTACTTCCCAGAAGCTCCTGTTTAATGCTCTCAGTCGGTAAACTGATTTTAGGATGTTTTTAAGGTCCAAGTTGAGTTTCTTTTTTAAATTTTTGAGAATTTCATCCATGAGTACTGTATTTCCATCATTTCTATCCCTCCATCCCATGTCAACTCCCCCCATGCTTCTGCTTCCTCTCAAATTCATGACCCCTTCTTTATTATTGTTACATATATGCATTTGTATATATACATATGCAATCTACTGAATATATTTAGTGTTGTTTGTATGAACATGTATTTAGGGCTAACCACATGGGACTGGATAACCTATTGGGTAGCTTGTCCCTGGAGAAAACTGATTCTCCCTCTCTCAGCAGCCTTTGATTACCTATAGCTCTTTACCTAGAAGTGGTACCTTGTGAAAAATTTCCCCATTGATGTTGGCATGATGACTGGTGTGGTCCTGTGCAGGCCTCATTTAGGCAACCATATTTTGGGGATTTCATGGGTGCAGCTTCCCTCTCATGTCTAGAAGACACTATTTAGCAACAGCTGTTCTGGTTCTTTACCTTTTGCAATCTTTCTACTACCTTGTCAGTGATTTTCCCTGAGCCTTTGGTATAGGGATTGCACTGTAGATGAATCAGTTGGGTCTGTACACCCCATAGTCACTATTTCTCTGCATTTTGGTCAACTGTGGATCTCTGTAGTAGCCTCCATCTGCTGCAAAAAGAAGCTTCTTTGATGAGTGTTGAGAGCTGTACTTATCTGTGGGTATAAGGCTATGTATTTAGAATTCAGCTAGAGATTATATTGGTTTAGGAAAATGCCAGGTATGGGAAACCTCCTTTTGTGTTACTGGTCAAGGGAATCCAAGAGACTCCCAAAACAATATAGGCTATTGCCATTGCCTTTGGTTGCCTCCTATTGCTGAAGACATTATATGCTTCAGACACAGGACTTGAAGGAATAGAGCTGGAATTGGCCTGGAAGCCTTCTCCCTAAGGACTAGCTCTCGTAGTATTAGAAGGGTCTATGCAAGCTACCATGGGAGAAAAGCAATCAATAGCTCTACTAGGTGTAAAGCCTCGGAACTATAACAATGACCAGCTTGCAAGATATCTTCAATGGTGCAATAGTGGCACTTTTATCTTAGGGGTAACCAACAACTGTCTAATTGGACATAAGGCCCACTCACTAGGAGGAAGTTTGTGCCTGATACTATAAACCTAGTCAGCTACCCATGACTGGAGAGGTGATAGAACCTAGACAAGTTGAAGTTTCTTGTCCTTTTGTCATTTGTTTCATTTTTGTTGTTGTTGAAGACAGTCTTGTTATCTAGTCCAAGCTGGTCTTAAATATGTAATCCTTCTGTTCCAGCCTCCCCAGTGCTAAGATTACATGTGTGTGCCACCATGCCCAGCCTGAAACTGAGTTTCTTGATATGTCTTAACTGACCACTAATGACTAGGGGAAGGGGCTGGCTTGGACCAATGCAGATCCAGTCTTGCATCCATCTGAATGATCAGATGTTGGCAGGCAAAGCAGGGAATGGATGTTCAGAGTAGCTGTAGTCCGTAGCTTACACCTGAAATCTGCTCTCCAAAGATGGGGGCGGAGTATCCTGAAAGCATGGAAAAGAATATTGTAAGTTCTGTTTTTACCTTTTCTTGTATAAAAACGGAAATTGGTTTTACAAATATGCAGACTGACTCTGGCACCCATATGTGGCCAGTATGCCCAACAGTTATTAAATTAAGCCCTATTTACAAAACGCTATGAGGAGAGTCAGTGTTCCACA